TTTCATAAATGACTGAGTGGGAGACACTAAACTTAAAAATGGGATAGCTGCTGCCTTTTGTGAACTCATAATCTAGTAAGGAAGAGGCGTGTCAGATGCAGTATTTATGACAGTGTAATCACACTGTGTTCATAATGGACAACGTTCACCATGGAGGCAGTACCTTTTGTTAAGACAGTGATCTGTCTTCCTGTTTAAGTACCAGAATTTCTGAGGCAAGTCCTAAGGGTTCTGACCAATGAGGCTATGGCATCATGAATAAGATCGGTGAATTACTGACTATATTTAAAGAGAATTAGTGTAATTGTGACTTTCCATATATTCCCTCCACCTCAAAGTATGTATGCATTGGATCCAGAAGAGTACACTGGCGAGGGAAACAGTCAGAGAATTATTCATGATAGAAGTATCTTAATGCTGTGAAGATTTTTGAGAAGATGCTTGACAGTATGTATGGCCCTAGCTTCAAATGAATAATATGTATCAAAAAAATAGTGAGAGCAAGAGAGAAGAAGAAGGACAAGGATTCAATATAATACTAATCCCAGGACAACGTGTAGAGTCTGACTTGTAAAATGAAGGAAGAGAATGGAAAGAAACCTCATGCTAAAAGATGAGAAAATATTACAGGAAGTGAGGACTTGGCTTAGCTAGAATTAAATTCCATCCAATCACTTAAAAACCTTAATAAACAGAAACATAGAACCATTTCTGGTCACCCGTCAGTCCAGTCCTAATTTGATTTCTCTGCCCTTTGATTAATTTGCATTGACTATACTTGTCAAGTGAGAAAGAACAGCAATAGATTTTTTTTTTTTTGAAGTGGGATATGTGTCTGAGGCACATCTTCTCAGACTGGCCAGTGAAAGAATTTCTGCCCTTTCTCAGCAGTTGTTTGGAGTTTGGTCTGAACCTCTAGGGTAGTTCTCACTGTAGTGATATATGGTTATTTCCATGCACATTTTGCTGCTTGTGAACACTTTTTATGAATTCACTGCAGTTGCAGTCAGTTCAGCACAGATAATGTACAGGTCTTCTCCCTGTACCCGGAGAAAGGGAGAGAAAGACACACAAGGGTTTAGCTTCAGGGTGGGGGTGGGGACTGACTGAAGGTTGTGCTCCATAATGACAGTAAAGTGCCCCCAAAAGACTTTAACCAGTGTCATTTCCTAGAAAGACAACTGAGTTTTCTAATGTGCTGGCAGAAGCAACAAAGAAACAAAACTACAGCAGTCATGAACAAAGATTTTGGATACCAGAAATGTATTTCCAGTGATGTCATAGAAGAGAAAAAAGGAAATCACCTTGAACTTGGTTTAAATGTTAGGAAGAAAAAGAAGTCTGGAACTGAGTTAAGGTGACGAGAAATGTATTTGTGAGTTGCTTTCTTGTAGACATCAACCAAGGAAAGTCACAGTTTGTAAGTGGAGTGTCTGTGTGTGTGTGTGTGTGTCTGTGTGTGTCTGTGTTTGTGTCTCTCTGTGTGTGTGTCTGTGTGTGTGTCTGTGTGTGTGTCTGTCTGTGTTTGTGTCTGTCTGTGTGTGTCTGTGTGTGTGTGTCCGTGTGTGTGTCTGTGTGTGTGTCTGTGTGTGTGTATGTATGTATGTGTGTATCATACTTCTGAGTGCCACAAAGCATTTAAATAACAGAAAGAATTTTGGTAATGTCAACAACAGAAAAGCAAATAGAAAGTTGATAGTGAGGAGTAATTTTTCACCTCAGTATCAGTGCCCAATGCTTCATAATAATAAAGTCAGTGAAAGAATGAACAGATTCAAATTCCTAGGAAGAAAGCTAACTAAGGATATCTTCGTTATTCAAATAGTGTCGAGAACTTCCGAAGCAGAAGAGGTCGTTGTTGTATGAGAGAAAAAGAATGAGCCGGGCGGTGGTGGCGCACGCCTTTAATCCCAGCACTCGGGAGGCAGAGGCAGGTGGATCTCTGTGAGTTCGAGGCCAGCCTGGTCTACAAGAGCTAGTTCCAGGACAGGAACCAAAAGCTACGGAGAAACCCTGTCTCGAAAAATCCAAAAAAAAAAAAAAAAAAAAAAAGAATGCTTTGGATAGATTCTAAGTAAAGACATCACCAGAAAAATCAAAAGTGATTTGTTCATACTACCATGCCTAGTTAGATGCCCATGATTCCATTTGAATATATTCCATTTCAATATAAAATTAAGTGGCTCCTGTATCGGCCCATGGAATAATCACTGCTGAATTTGAACACTACTCAGCCATCGAGCCGAGTCCAAGGCAGTGTAGGTGCTGCACTTGGCAGGGTAGAGAGCAGAGTGAAAGGGGGTGGAGTGAGATCCTGTTGTCTCCCCTAACTTCTCACCTTATTCCGGGCATTGCACAAATAGGAACCTAGGCAATATTCCTGGAGGCAAGCTTTCTAAAGAAAAAAAATATTTATATAATCAGCTTTATGCTGTCATGACAAATTCTTGGTAGCTCAAAGAACATTCATGTATTCTTCATAGCTCACTGAGAAGTCCGAGATGGCAAAATCAATACTTACTGAGACCACTCATCTAAGCCACGTTGCTTTCCATAGATGCCCATCTCCAAATATCACAGCACATGTGAATTGTGGAGAGGGGTCCCAGACATCTGCTTCATAATGCAAGAAGGAAGAAAGTCAGATACACATAGACTCCACTAGCAACTCAGATCTCTTTCCCCTAGTCTCTCAGTAGTAGTAACAAAGATGTGCTTCATTTCTTAGATAAAATTTTACTAGTTAGTAAAAGATACACTAAAGATTAAAGTCCATGTTAATAAAACATCCCTATGCAAAAGTGGGAAATTTTCTGATTTTTTTATATCTTATAGAATCAGCCCTATTCTAAACTTTCTCTTTAAATGGGATATGCCAAATTTTAAAGCTTGTTTGAAGCTGTTGATTTTAATCTCAGATGGACCCACACTCACGGTTTCTAAAGTGCAGACTGTACCTTTTTGTCTTTCCTTCTCTCCCCTGTAACAGTTTGCTTTGCTCCAAATAAATCTGGAGAGCTACAGGCTGTCTTGCATATTTCCTATATTTAACTGAAATGGAAAAACATGAATATGAAATGTTAAATATATCAACTTAATGGAATGGGTTGAGATTTGATATATACTAGATTTTTTTAGGTGTATGGGATAATTAAGAATTTTGTTTTCAAAGGTTAGCTTAGGCTATTAACTAAGATAGATAACTGTCATTATTGTTCATTAGGGTAAGAGCATAAGGTTAGATTTGTCTGGAGAGTATGATACATCTATTAATTTGTGTGCGTGTGCGGATTTATACATAGTATAGAAGTATTTAACATAAATATGAATAATAAACTTAAAATAAGGACTAGGTCCACCTAGCAAGCACATATCAACTTTGCTCTATTTTTCTTTGTGTCTGTGGGGCTTGGCTTGCTATTTCCTAAATTTCAAACTGACAAATGTCATTCCCTAGATGAGACAGAGGGCAGGCTTCCTGTCAGTAGCATTCCTTCAAGCTTGGTGACCCAACCTGGTGACGTGTAGAGGATGGTGCAATGTCTACAATTAGAAATCACAGAGACTTCTGCCTTGGTTGCTTGGTCAAATCTCAGTTTCTGCCATTAATATGATCTTTGTCCCCTCTCAAAAGAGAAAGACATAAATAATAACAGCCTTTTTTTAAATTTTAGCAATATTTTGATTAAAAAAACCATCGGGGGAGGACTTCAATATTTAGGAGGAAAATAAAACTGTAGTTTTCACTTAAATGCAATCCCTTCTTTGAGGCTCTGGGGTCTTTTGCTTCTAAGTATAGCAGCTTATATTTAAATTGGAATTTTGCTCTAGATCTGAATTTTTTTCATTTTTCTTAGAAGCAAACTTTGTTTTTCTCTCTTAGTCTCTCTGGGAGACTCTTAACAAAGAGTCTTCTTCCCTACTACAGATCTGTTGGCTGTCTCCCCCCCCTCTGGGAGACCCAGATGGAGCACACTTACCTAAGGGTCTCAAGATTTTGCATGGAGCCCCCCACACAGCTTATTCCTACTGAATTTAAACAAACCACCACAATTCATTTTCCTTCAGTTTTCAGAAATTCTAAACTATATTAATATTCTGCCATTAAAAGTACACGTAACATATTAATAATAATGGCAACTTTCATAGATAGTCTTAATCTAATTTTATTCCATGAAACATTTCCCACTAAGGAAGGATGCTATTGACATATGAGTTTGAGAACTTGACAGTGCAGAGTTATTAGTGATCCAGAGATCGTTATTTTAAATTTGCAGGGTCTTCTTTCTTTTATTACCCCTCTAAAATAACAGCGGTTGGAGGAAAGTTCTAAGGTGTTTAAAGAAAAGGGTTTTTGGTTCAGATTGGAGTTTTAATAGGCCACATGCCATCTGTCTCTCCAATTTGTAACATTTCATTATTAACAAGCCCAGAAGAAGGAGGCAGTCTATTTCTGTTGTAGGGACAGATTTCTGTCCATCTGTGCCCGCCTTGTCGCATGTCACTTGTACTTTGGATCTGCATAGCTGTGAGGCAGTGGAGATGGAGGCCAGGTCAGGAGGTGGAGAAGCCTGTCAGTGCTTTGAGGCCCCAAGCCTGTGACAACTGCCTCCAACAGCTTCCAGTGCCTCCCGGAGGCCATCATTCTGGTGGGCCTTGGAGCTGGGCCTTCCCTGATGTAATCTCGCAAAAAAAAAAAAGGTTAACTTTTCCACTGAAAAATAGGACATGACTATGGTTAACGCCAGGGTCCTCATTAGCGGGCCTTAGTTTTCAGTCCCTGCAAATGTGAACCGCTTTATGGTGATTACGACTTTATGGTAAACTCAGCGTTGGGGGCAGCAGAGCCCATGAGAAGCTGTTTTATGGCAAACGGGATGCATGCCGGTTACATATACATGGAGACACAGCGTACCCACGCTGAACCCCTTGTGCCTTCCCCCAAATCTCTATGTCTTGATGGTTTTCTAATTGCAAGCATTTCTTTCCTTTCCCCAAAGTGCTTACCAAATTGTCGTCGAGCAACTGCATCCGCATCGGACCAAGCGAGAAGCCGGGGCCATGGAGTGCTACCAGGTACCCGTTACGTACCAGAACGCCCTGAGTGGGGGTGCACCCTATTACTTTGCTGCAGAACTCCCCCCTGGGAATCTTCCTGAGCCTGCCCCTTTCACCGTGGGTGACAACCGGACCTATAAAGGCTTTTGGAACCCTCCACTGGCTCCTCGCAAAGGATACAACATCTACTTCCAAGCCATGAGCAGTGTGGAGAAGGTGAGATGCTGTTGAGATTTGATTTTCCCTCTGTCGTTCGTAAAGCTATGGCTATATTTTATAAACACTCGGTAGCGTTTGCTAAGGAAAATTGAAGAGAGAGGGAGGGAGGGAGGGAGGGAAGGAGAGAGAGAGAGAGAGAGAGAGAGAGAGAGAGATTAGATTAGGGGAAAAATCGGTGTATAGTGTCTCTCCCTTTGCCAGCCACGTGCACGTTGACTGAAGGCCCCAGGCTGCAAGCCAGCAGCATTTCACAGGATCTCTGTTTCCTAGTAACTACTGCAACTTGCTCGGTCTTCAGGAATGCCCACAGTGCAACTGTGAGGGAAGTGATTTGAAAAGGTGGGTGTGCTGCCACGGGGACTTCACCCCCAGTAAATTCCCGCCATTGTTCTGCCTCACTAGCTCAGTAGTGGCCGCTTCAAAAGATTAAATTTACTTCAGGATAAACAGAATATGCGTTCCGCAGCGGGCTAATAAACCTTTATAAGCTTTTCAGGGGGTACAAGCCAAATAGTAAATAACAAGTAACAATCCTCTGATTACAAAGTAATGGGACGCCCGTGGTCCAGCTGACAGACCCTAAACAGAAGACTGCCTGCCGAAGGCTGGGTGCTGAGCCATTACAGAAGTTGGCTGGCCCTGGCCCCGACTGCCCCTCCTTTTCTTATTTTGGACACAGTTGTTGTGGAGCACTGCTGCTGATCCCAAATGAATATTGAAGCGGAAATCACAGCAGGGCACGTGGAGAAAAACAACCTAGCCTTTTGCTCTCACGCTGTTTACCTTTGAAAGACTTTTCTTCCCAGCGACTTAATGTTGTTTTTATTTATTTATTTCTAGTTTGGACAAAGGCAGGCAGGATAGAAAAGCATGTTGAGAAGAGAAACTTTTAACAATTTCCTATCCAGATGAACACTGGCATTTTGATGGACTTGTAGCTGCATGAGAAGTGGTTTGGTTTTGTATAATTGGTGGCATCTGGGAGCCGATATGAAGTATGTGACAAGCAGTTGTATGAGTCATATTAGCTCTTAAAAGAGTTTAATTGGGAAACAACCAATTTGTATTTCTAGAGGGGCCATGACAATATGAATATTGATTTGACATGCAAGCTGTATTTTTCTGCCTACCAGTGTGGCCATTGTACAGTATAGAACAACAAAAAATGCCAGAGACCCTTTAAATAGGTAGTCTCCATGCAGAGGCTGTCCATAGTTGAAGATGTTTTTCCCTGCTCATTTTCCCCCTATATAACTCGATTCTTTAGGGTCCACACCAAGTTGTATTAGTTATTTTACTGGCTCTGGCAAAAATGCCTAGCAAGAAGCAATTGAAGTGATAAAGGGTTTATTTCAGTTCACAGTGAGAGTTAAGTCCATGGAGTGCAAGGCATGGTGGCAAGAGCAGGAAGCGACTGGTCACATGGGTCCTTATTCAGGGAGCAGGGAACAAAATATCCTGGTGTTCTTCCCAACCTCTCTCTCTAGCGTGAGACCCTCAGCCCATCAAAATAATGCGATCTATATTTAGGGTAGGTCTTTCTGCTTCAATTAATTTATAGATAATACCTCACAGACATGCCCAAAGGTTTGTTTCCATGGTGATAAATCCCATCAAAATGACATTCAAGATTAACGAACCCTCGGAACATACACATACTACACACATTTTCAAAAGTTCTTGTCTAATTAAGTTTTTCAAAACAGAGACATGAGAAAAGTTGATAACCCACTCCTAAACACAAATAGCACACAGGTAGGAGGCAGTTCCAGGTTTGAGTTTTCAACTTCAAAGAGGTAATAGTTTTTAAGTCAACTCCTGTTAATCCCTCTGTTGTGTGGCAGGAGTGCCTATGAATGTGTGTACTTACAGGGAATTTTCTCTGACATTCTTTAACTACACTACTATTTGATCAAATTTAACAGTGGTTTTCAACCTGTGGGTCACGATCCCTTTGGCAATCAAATGACCCTTTCACAGGAGTAACCTAAGACCATCAGAAACCACAGATATTTACAATATAACTCATAGCAGTAGCAAAATTACAGTTATGAAGTAGCAATGAAAATAATTTTATGGTTGGGGGTCACAAAAAACATAAGAAGCTGTATTAAAGGGTCACAGCACTGGGAAGGTTGAGAGCTATGGAATGTGAGTACTGGCAATCATATCATTCACAAAGAGTTTTGACATTGATGAGCCTCACACCAGCAGAGGCTGGTAATGCCTGCAGAGACTCAACAATGACTGCTTTTAGGAGATCAACATCCCTTGGGGTCTACATTGGCTCATGAAATTCTCCTGCAGCCAAATCTGAAGGTCAGCCACAGAGAAGAAACAGAAGAACACATTTCTTCTCCTAATTCTATATTTTCCAGACTTTCAAAGTAAATGCTCGAGAAGGAATTATATAAATTTGGTCTATTATTTATCAAAGAATAAAGCCATTGAAGATAGAGTTATAAATACCTCTTAAAGATAACCTCTCTTTCATAAAAGCTCATGTTCCTAGTATGTGAACCCTGGCTAACACAAGTAAACAAACAGAACAGAGAGAATAACATTAGGTAGATCCAGGTTTGCGCAAAAGCAATTTATTAGGATTCCAGGGACAACAGTCTGTCCATACCCTGAGGCAGAAGGAAGGGATAGGTGTGCTGAGCCCTGTCCAACTATGATATACCCAGATCTCTTCCTAAACTATGTTGTCCAGTGGGACCTAAGCAACAGCTAGCCCCAGTGGCTATGACAAGAGAAACCCACCACTATAAAGCCTTTGTCCTGTAGGGTTTGGAACACATGGGAAAACTCATGGAGGAGAACTAAGTCACAAGACCTTGTCAGGAAGGAAAGAGGGGGTGGGGGAAAGGAAGAAAGGGAAGAAAGAAAGCTAAGGCAAGCAGAGAATGGCCGAGACTGAAGTAGGTGTCTGAGAAGGGAGCAGAGCCCAAGACAGCCTGAGGGCCTTGTGTTTCTTTATATCCCACAGCACTAACCATTCTTGCTGCTTCCCCTTACATTTCTACTTTCTCTATCTATCTTGGTAATAAGAGGTAGGAAAAAAAATTTAGTTGCTGACAGCTAAATTTCCAGGAAAGAAAGAGCACATAAATTACATCTAAACTGCTATGTGATGTCTTGATAATCTTTCTTAACAACTACCGTTTAGCTGTTTAGTCGTGCTGAGATCCAAGGGAGAGTATATCATGTTCAGGTTTGTTCCAAGTCTGGAGCTGTTAGATGAAAATTAGATTTGTATACGGTTCTGATTTATATTAGCTTTGCAGATCCGTATCTCTTTCTGGAAGCTCAAGAAGCAACAAACATGCAAATAGCAGGCCATCCAACTTGTCTCTGCCACACCAGTTTGCTTTATGACAAAGTGAAACAGATACAGACATCTCTAGCAATTACTAGAAACCTCCTTCAAATTTTTAAAATACTGTCTAAGACTAAATATTGAGAAAGAAATTCCCTGGTTATTATAGTTCTTTAGTCATAATCTTATTGTTAACCCTTGGAGTGTCGTGATAAGAAGTATAATAATAATTTACAGATCAGAAAATATTGTCTATATATTGATCATTTTCTTTTGATTTCACTCAACCAGGAAACTAAAACCCAGTGTGTACGAATTGCTACAAAAGGTAAGAGTTTGCTTTTTTATTTTGTTTATATTTTTAGCTCCATTCTCTACTCCTTTCCAAAATGAAAGAGTTTTGCTCCCGGCTTTAGGCCAATAAAGTGTGATGTTTCTTTTACAAGGTATTTGTACTGGGACCCAGTGAAGCCCCCAAGTTCTCTGAACACTTGGGTGTCTTTAAGAGAAATGGGAGCTTTTCATCCCATCCCTAGCGTTTAACTAAAGGGACCTTGTCATGATGATAAGATGGGCTTAGAAACCTTAGAGCAGCTTAGCCTTGGATTTAGGGTCTGAGAGGCCTTATGCCACCCATTACTCCATTTGGAAAAAATCAGCCATAGCAGCTCAAAGTACAAGTCACTTTACTTGGAAACCTCCATCACTCTATGTGATAGACAGATCAAACAGGTTCAGCTCTGATGAGTCTACACACTCAGGTGAGCGCTTCATTTGCATTTGGTTCTGATGTAAAAGGAACAAAGCTAGTTTAACACCGCAGGAGCACAGGAGGGGGAGAACAACCCTGCGATTTCATCACTGGAAGGAAGGCGTTTTAATTTTTCTCTTTGATTCAGCTAACATTGGGAAATTATTTCTGTGAAGGCTAGCAAGCAGAACACTGCCTGCTGACCCTGGCTGCTATGACTTAGCTGGTTTGATAAGAAGGAATGTATTGTCACCTTTGAATGAGTATTTGGAGCAGGCTCCTAGACCTCTCTTTGTGTTGTCCTTTAAAAACTGAATGGTCCAACAAGGGAGAGGCTACTGCTTTGTCTGTTCTAGCGGAGAAGGACTAGCTATCTGCACGCCTGCCTGAGCCTCCACAGAGGTTTGTTCCGCTGGGAGCTCTGTTGCCATAGTTAGTATTTGATGCACATTTGTGAGCGTAGCTGATTCACTGGGGGTAACAATGAATAGCCATATTCTGTTTATGTTGGCATCTCGCCTTTCATCTTTTTCTCCCTCTATCAATCTGCTCAATTAGCATTTGTTTTTCTCTTGATTTGTGCAAGCAATAAAGAGTTTCCCCTTGACTCATGGGACTAATAAAGAAACTTCACAGATGGGGAAAAAAAAACCGACTGATTTCCATTCAGATACTAAGATTCCTCATGATAATAAAAAATAAGTAAACAATGCTAGTGGAAAAAAAAGAAAAATATATGCAGAAGCATCTAGTGTGCTAGCGGGCTTTTTGTTTCTTGGGTTTTTTTTTTGTTTGTTTTTTGTTTTTATTTGTTTTTGTTTTAAGAATTGGCTTGTAGATCGGGAGTTCGAGTTGAAACTTCTGGAAGTTAGCCGCAAAAGACATTTAGCAGTCTGTTGCTACCTCTGCTTTTCTAGATTTAAAGCAGATGCAAAGAATGTAAAAAGGACCCATAGCAGGCTGTTAGAAAGGTTTTTTGTTTGTTTGTCTTTCTGAGACAGGGTTTTTTAGTGTAACAGCCCTAACTATCCTGGAACTCATTCAGTAGACCTAGCTGGCCTTGAACTCACAGAGATTCCCCTGTCTCTGCCTCCTGAGTGCTGGGATTAAAAATGTGTGCCCCCACCGCCCAGTTAGAAAGTTCTTTAGATAGGAAAACAATGAAAGGAGAAAAGAGCTGAAGCGATTGCAAGACAAAATTTCCTTGTCATTCACTGCTTTCGTGAATTGTTTTGGGGTCACTTTGTCCCCTTTGGATACCAATAAAAGCAGGATAGCAAATATTATCTGGTATTTCTGCTCCAGGGAGGGTTATAGATCGCGGAATTCGATCTTAGCATGTGACATTTGCTAGCCGCCCAGAGGGTACTAAGAAGGCTTCCTTCCGTTTGTGGTCATTCCCGTGTTCTTGTGCATCCTGAGGCACCCAGGACCTCTGGTTGACAGAGTGGCATACTAAGGATGAGAAGGACTTTGGTCTTAGTCTATCTGAGGTTAGATCTTGATCTTGTCTGATGGCTTCAAGGCAAATTACAAAAGCTCCATTTGCCAAAGGAGCGTAGCAAAGTGCTTATCCCTTATTTTGAGGATTTGGGGGACATATAGACTACTTCTTCCTCATCTAGGATTTTTTTCTTCCATGATTAAAGATATCTGTAGCAAACCATAGACAGAAAATATTAAATGAAAAATTCCAGAAATAAAAAATTCATAAATGTTAAATTTTGTATGCCACCGGCAGTAGCATAATGAAAGTTTCACTCTCTTACTCTACTTGTCCCAGGACCCGAGCGCCCCTTTGTTCACAGCATTTGTGGTGACTATACTACCCACCTGTCAAGTAACTCAGTAATCTAACCACCTGTTGCTGTATTGTTATGTGTGTGTTCAAGAAACCCTACTTTGATTAATTAGTGGCTTCGAAGTGCAAATGTCGTTGTTCTATTCACTTCTTATAATTTGTCGTCTCATATTGATATTATACTTTATCATAGGTTTGCACATGTGGAAGAAGTAGTAGCTGCAGAATTTGATATTATTTGTGGCTTTAGTCATTTACCAAGGTTCCTGGAACACAGCTACCACAGATAAAGGAGCTGTTATGCACACAACGTGTTTGAATGAGCCCTGGCATACTTTACATATTACACATGTTAGCCACTGTCTTCTCGTGTCAATTATAAAGTGCAGTGTTATCCTCACTAATGGACTTCCCTAGAGGCTCCTGAAAGAGCCTCTGTGTTTTCTGTTACCATTGTAAATCGAGAAAATTGCCGTGGCTAGTCCCTAAAATGAACATGTTTTACCTTGCCTTTGAACCACATAAATCGTCATATGCAGTTATGAGGGGAAAAAAACCATAAATACTAAAGTAGACTTAAATTGCAGATAGAAATTTATTGGGGGTAAAATTAAGGGTTTTTTGTGATTTAATATTTCTAGCAAGATCTAATCCATTTCTTGCTCTTAATTTTGACATTTTTCTACCTATGAAAAAGCACACTTTAGTAAAGTAACATTGCCTTATTGACTGAGTGTAGCTAAACTAACACTGTGGAAATACAGTTGCCTTTTTGTCTAGAATCTTTGAGAATGGAAATAAAATTTTTCAGACACGGGATCTTGAAGACTTAATAACTAGACAAAATGATATAACCATGGTGCTTGTGAAGGGATATAAAGAAGCCTACTAGTAAAAGACTAGCTAGTTAAGCAAGTGTACACTTTCGTAAAAGAGTAATTAAATTCTATGTTGAAATAGGTGGGCCTCACTGTTTACTACATATTTGAAATGTGTGGGCTTTGCTGTTATATGTGTGTGTGTGCGCACGCGTGTGTGTGTTTGTATGTGTGTTACACACACACGCACACACATATATTATATATATATATCTTATATATGTGTACATACATACATATATGGGCTCATGAGTAGTTCCTTGATTTTTTTTTAAGGTAACAAAGTAATGAGAACTATATGAGCATGTGTAGAAGCAATGCTGAGTCCATAGGTGAATCTGTGGCAGGAGTGTGTGCGTGTGTGTGTGTGTGTGTGTGTGTGTGTGTGTGTGTGTGTGAAATCTTGCTAGCTTTCACAGAAGGCTGCCCCTGATGCTCAGGGAAGCAAAACCATGTCATTTTTCAGATAGTGTCAACAGAGGATAGCCAGAAAGATTGGAATCTGTTGGATCCTCTGTGGCATCCCTATGGACACAGCCTGTGTTCTCCATTACTAAAACCCTGCCTTCATCTTCATGTCCACATCCTCAGCTAGGAGTACCGAGAAAGTGGGATCCAGCTTTCCTAATGTCCTTCATATATAAGTCAACTTTGCTGAAAAGAGCATGATTCTCTACAAGTTCGGATGTCTCTGCTGTAAGACATTCTACTTTCCAGGGACCTTTTATATTTATTTTTGTTAGACAATATGCATTCATATGTATTTTTTTAACTTACCTGTTTAGTCAAGTTTAGTTCTGTGATTCAGTAGTCTCATATATCACTATATTCCAAGAACAAGCACAAGATGGAAGTCTGATGATATACAACAGACATTTGTTGAATTGGTAATTGAATTTAAATTTGAGGTGCATGTTTTTGCTTTAATATTTAATCAAAATGGTTGCAGCACTGCCTGCAATTCGGAAAAGTATCAGAGGACTTGCATGTGGTGAGTGGCGTGTGCAGGTGGGGCTGGTTTTTTTTGTTTGTTTGTTTGTTTGTTTCTTGCAATGTGAATTTATAGGTCACCTTATATTTTATAAAAAAAAAATCCAAAGCTGAGATTCTGTGTGAGTCTGTAGTTACTTAGAAATAAAATTTGTAAACTGGTGTGTATTAAGTTTTTTTGACCGAATGTTTTACTGGGATAAGTGACAATGTATGATTTCTTCATTCAAATGGCTATTTGTGTACATAACTGGGAAACCTGTTTAGCTGAAACGCTTCAACTTGGTCACTGCGATTCTAATGACTGTAATTCTGTTGATCTCCAGTGTGAGGGTACTAGTCTAGTGTTCTAACAAGAATTAAATGATTTAATGTAGTCAAGCAGAAACTCTAAAGGAAATCTCTTTCTACTTTGATTGTCTATATGTAGCCATTATGATAAATGATTAAACAATTACATTAAACATCACACAATGGGCACTACTTAGTAGCACAAGAATGTATCACGTTTTACTGACGTGGACCTCTTGGACTTCAGTTGGACGTGTTGAAATTGTAACTGCAACTGAATTTAAGAGCTCGAATATTAATTACAAAATTGAAGTGTAAAGTTAACAAGGGTTTTCGCTGAGTTTTCATATCTTTTTATTTAAACTATTCCTTAAGTTCTGTGTCAGTTCCCACAATAAGCACCACATCCCAGGAATATTCTTCATCTAATGTTTCCTTTTCCTTGAGTCTCATGAATATGAATGTACAGGGCTCCTTCATAAGTAGATTTTCCCCCCCATGCGCAATGTATTGCTCATGAAACATGAAAGACACTGAACTTCAGAGGGTCTTGTTCACACTCTCCCGGCTCTCTACCAGCTTTAATATTGAGAGAACACTGTTTGCATGTGCAGCCT